CCCACCCATGCACACACACACACACACATCCCACCCATGCACACACACACACACATCCCACCCATGCACACACACACACACATCCCACCCATGCACACACACACATCACACACACACATCCCACCCACACACATCCCACCCACACACATCCCACCCACGCACATCCCACCCACGCACATCCCACCCACGCACATCCCACCCACGCACATCCCACCCACGCACGCACAGCGAGACGCTCCTCTCTCTCGCCCCCTTGCAGAGTTTCTCAACCCCGTGTCCTCGCGACGCTCTCGGCGGCACAGCCCTTCAGTGATTACCAACCATCCGGAACGGGCGGTGTGCCGTGGCTCCATTTGCATGTGGACAGAGGTTTGGTGGCCGGTGAATGCGGAAAGGCGGAGGAGGACCGTTCGGGGGGGGGGGGGGGCGTGGATGCTGACCTTCAGAAGCAGGACTCGACTGAACGCAGCACACCGTATCGCTAAGCAAACAGCACACCCACAGCCAACACCAACACACGTTAGACAGCACACCACCTTACACACCAACACCCCCGTCTACAATGCAGTACACCAAAAACGCAATGCATCACACCCTCAAATTAGACACAGGAAAACCACAAACAGCCACATCCCAACACGACTTTGGCTACAAGCAGCACACCCACAGACGTTTGGGGGCAAGTGCTGCACACACACACACAGATACACGAACACATCCGCACACCCTCCACTCCACAGCTTTCCCCACTCACTCAATCGCGCCCCTCTGTTGCACACAACACAGGCGCATGCGACCCTTTCACAACTGCATGGCACGCTCACACACGCTGGACGTGCCCTCCCGCTGCAAGGCGGTGGTGACTTTTTGTACACGCAGGGGAGCGTGGCCATCTCTGGTAGAGGTTTTTTTGGGTTAGATCGCGTAAATGTGCGTCGTTAAAACCCACCACCACCCGACACAGTAAAGGTTGTCACGAAAACAGAACATGCCAATTCGTCACTAGTACAGCACACTGGTTGTGTTGGAGAGCCAAGCCACAACATTTACAATCCGAGTACGACGTTTCGCCAGTAATTACGACAGCCAGATTTGGGTTTTAACGACACATTTATATATCTACGCGATCTAACCCAAAAAGAAAAACCTCTATTATGGATGATATTGGTCGGGAAAGCCTGCCAGGTGTTGAACTGCCATTCGCTGGTGTTGACTCGCGAGGGCTACCGTTCCTCTCGGCTCGAGGACCAGTTGCCAAGTTGCATTCGCGCAAAGCTATGAGCAAGCTAGCTGCGGTGCAAAAAAAAAAACACGAAAACAAAACGAAAACGCCGGAGCGGGCGTGAACGCACACCACGACCGGTGGGGGCGTGGCTCTCGAGTGCGCAGGCGGTGCGACGGCGCCGGCGACCCTACGACGAGCCAGAGGGGCCCCCGGGGCGCTGGAGGGGCCATGGGCCCCGGGATCACGGAGAGGTGGGTCGGGGTCGCAGGGTGGGGAAATCTTTCCACGCACGAGCGAATGAACACAAATAATAATAGTCAACCGCGCTACGCCAGCAACTGCGGACCACTGCAAAAGAAACCGATACCAGAATACAAAGGGCAACGAGCTCCTTCTCACTTCCCCTGCCCGAGCCGATCGCCATAGCCTGGCCCATTGGCGTGTTTGACAAATACAGTGCAAACACACGCGTGACCAACGACCCGGCATACCCCCCCCCCCCCCCCATCTCGACCACCGCGTTAAATCCCCAGCAGTCGACTTGGCCGCGGCGCTCCTGCACTCCGCTCCGCTCGCCAGACCGGTCGGAGAGGTGCCGGCAGTACCAAGCGCGCCGACGGTTCTCGCACGCCGCAGGGAACGAACGCCTCGCCGGCAAAGTTGCAGGCGAGGCGTGCGGGCGCCACCTCGAAGTCCCCGGAGCGATCGCTCTCAAGCAAGCGAGGGGCTTTGATTTAACGTCCCGCGCGTTGTTCGGCACGGTGCCCAACGTTTTGTTCCGCGTGCTCCAAAGAAGCTCCCAGCGGCACGTGGAGTAACACGTAGGACAGCGCGCGGAACAACCTGGGCAGCGGGGCCAAATTTCTCACCGGATATTTTCCAGGCCGTTGGAAGAGACCGGAGTAGATGGCACGTGGCCACAAATAGCCACAGCCCATATCGAGAGGAGGTATACTGAATGTGGTGTGCCGGATGCGTACATTTTCTCCAGGTCACCGGCCAAAGATCGACCCCCGGGTGTCTGGGTCATAACCCATCCACGGTGCTGCCCAATGCAGGTCGGGAAATGAATCTCCCCGCAAGCACGAATAATACGTCACCTATATATTTGTGGCCAGGTAAGAAGATCCCGTGAACAACGGAGTGGCCGGCCATAGGAGGGAAACACGACAGAGGCGCCCACCGTGGAAACGGCAATGAGATCTGCCGTATGTGTGTTAAATAGTCCTTCATAGCTCATCAGATTCCTGCAGTCTAAATAAAGATATTTGATTCGGAGCTGGACGGATGATTGCTGCTACATGAGACCATGAGATATGGCAACGACTTGATGGCTTTCATCCAGCAGTGGAAAGAAAATGACTGATAATAAAGATCCCATTGGGACTGAGTGTCTCAGTTTAAAATATATATTTTTACCAATCTTATTCCAGCTGCGCTTTCAGAGCAGTGCGCATACCACAGAAGTACATTTTTATCGGCATACTACAAATGCCAAACTTTCCCACTTGCTCTGCTACAGACAAGTATGTTTGTTGCATGGCAATGAAACACATCCGTCTCTCTCGCGTCTCAAAACTGGAATGTAGCCCAATTAAGTGGAAAAAAACGTAAAATTGTACGTTTTTGTGTGCGAGTGGAGTCACCGGTGAACGGGCAGAGAACACCAACTCACTCCACTTGAGAAACCGGTTCTATTACGGGAGGGTGAAAGCTGGATTCGAACCCAGGATCACAGCAGTGCTGGCTGACTTGTCTTCTATAATCCCTGGGCCAGCCTGTTGTTTTCTGAGACAGATCAGGGAGTTGTCCGTGTTCACGGTTGGACATGTATCAATATCATGGCCGATGATGATATCTAACCTATCAAATGAGTAAATTTAAACCCTGCAGCCACTAGAGGCACTACACGTAAGACAATGGCAAAATGAATGATCCATTCTTGAATCTAATCATGAACTTTAACCATGGGAATGTTTTATAATGAAGACAAACATTTTCAAAAGGGTACCATGCTAGTTTCGTGCTCATGCCACTGACGGTGGAAAGGTCTCTACTAGAGGGAGCTTTCGAGTGCCTCTCTGGAGGTTATTTTGGCCTTCTTTCCACACTGGCCAGAAGCCTCGCAGCAAGGTGGGAGTACCCACACTTTACCCCGCCACACGTGACCAGCCTATCGGCTAACCGTGGTGAACCCAATTACACCGCTGGGTGGACAGAGATGGGAGGCGGTGGAGGGGGGAGATTTAAGAAACTAGCACCGTCGTCGTTTCAATCGCCGCGCCAGGAGATGGAATCGAACGGGTGACCTCTGGATTGCGAGCCCAACGCGCCGTCCGTTGCGCGAGTCCATCGCCCCGACGATGAAGTGCGGCCGTGAAATCGAGACGGTGAAGGACCGCAGAGCGGCGTTCGTGAAAGGCTCGGGGCATCGCTGCTAAGCCCACGGGGGGCCAGCACTATCCGTGCTTAAAAAATGCTCTTTGCGCCAGAATTCTTTTTTCTGTTTCCAAGTTAGTGCAGTCACATGGGCCCCATTCCTGCCTCGTCATAAAAAAAAGCCCCACAACAACCCACATCAGTGGGCTCATTAAGCCGTCGCTAATCCCCCACAAGGAACCATTCTCCAAGTCCACGTGCCCAATTAGTGACCCCCACCAGTCAGCCCCGGTGGCTACAAATCAGCTGCGAAGAGGAACATACAAGGGCACGAGGTCTGGACAAGGGGACCGGACAAATCCACACGAGTCCAGCAGTGGCTAAGTGTGTCCTGCCTCCATAGCCGTACACACACACACAGTGTAAAGACAACTATGCCCTGTACAGCCATATAAACTGGTGGGGGCAAGTGCTATTATAGCGAGCACCTAACGAGGTCTGCACGGCCCAAGAGGGAGTGGTGTGGCCAGGAAACACGCCCCACCACATCCATCTCTCCAGCGCCGATTTTCCCACACTGTGTTAACTACTCATTTATGGTTGAGTCGACCTAGAAGAGGCCCAGGGCAGTTGCTGATGCCAACTGCTGCTGATACACTCAGTCGGACATAGAGAAAAGGGTAACGATGTGTTTCCAAGGTGAGGTTTGGGAGGAGAGAAGTCTGATTGGAAGGAACCAGACAAAGCAGAAGATGTGGGATTGGGCAAATTCTCACAGGCGAGAACTGTATGTAGCAAGTACTGGAAGGACGGATGTGGGGTAAGAGTCAGAGAAACAGAAAACAAAAGAAAGCTGCTTGACAAATGGAAGGTAGGAAGGAAGGCAGGCGAGAGAGGCCATTCAGTAAAGGAAGAAAGAAGATCAAGATCGCAGAGCACTAAAAAAAGGGAGCGCCACCACAAACACAAGGCCTGGCCAGGAATCCAACTCAGGCTGCAGAGTTTTCGGCACGGTACTCACTAACCAAGTGGGTTCCCACAAACTACTACCCGTCAGCTCTCAATCAACACACGCACAACGCATCTGTTAGATTAAAACGAACCTAAAACAGCGCTGTAAACTGTTCATTTTCATATATCCATAAAAAAGGTGAAGTTTCGTTTTGTGGACCAAAACAAAGTTGCGCAATGGGCAGTATTGCACCCCGCGGTTGTCTTGTGAAGACATAATCGTCGTCCATCTGCAAACAGTTCAGCATAGCGCTTCCCACGCAGCCTTGCAGCGGCCCCACGCACCACAGATGCATCAAAGGGGTTGACTCCGTCGCTGATGACGCGAACGACCGCGGCCGGCCACTGTGACCCACCCGTGGCCCGAGCCGACTTGCTGGCTCACCTTTAACCTTGAGAGATGACCTGCTGCTGCTGCTGCTTCTTCTACCGATGCCTCCCTCGGTGGGATCAGCCGCACCTGCAGTTGTCGGCGAGTCGGTTCTCTGGCGAGCACAGGGAGGGCACGTGGGGTCGGTGGCGGAGAGGGCGTCAGAACCTCCAGGGAGAGGTTGGCACTCTGTCCGAAGGTCGCTCACCTATCAACGACGGAGAAATGATATGACTCGTGTACCATCAGCACGCATGCGTATAAAATGTGGATGGGGGCAGTTATGGGTAGTTTCTGAGTCGAACGCAGATGGAAAACCCAGAGATAGGCGATGTCGCTTGTGATAATCCACGTCTAGTACTGTACACCCAAAGTGCGGGAGGACACTAGTCTAGATTGCTTCGTTCCTTATCGACGTTTTGTTTATTGCAGGTGGATCCTGAATATACGAACCACGCCTCGTGCCTTCATCAATTTCACAACAGGTGAATCATCATTGTCGTCATTATCATCATGACATTATCTACACAGCTCCAATCATCAGTGAATCCATCTGTGGTGCATCACGTGGGACTGAAACCCCCCCCCCCCCAGAATGCCATAGCCTGCTCAATCAACCTGGAGCCACGGAGTCTGTGGGATTTGGATTTCAGTTCTTCTCTACGGCAGTCTCCCATAGACGTGCTAACCAGGCTCGAATTTGCTCGGCTTGGCTTTTCTTTTTGTAACTAAAGCACTCGGCGTCCACGTGCCCCGTGGCTCTCAATCTCAAAGTGGATTGTGGTGCTGTTTTGCTGCATAAAGCACGGGCACAATGGGAGACGAGGCATGTCTGTGTGCGTGTGTATAGATGTGTACTACGTGGGGAGCGGTAGCATGGCGGTCAGCGCGCTGCCTTACGAAACCAGCCACACGAATTCAATCACCGCACGGGAGGACGCGATGCTGGCCACCCACCCCCTCGTGTTTTCGTTGCCGGCCTTCATAGCCGTTCGCTAACAGCACTTACCGCAACAGTATTTTAAGGCTATACGGGGGGGGGGGGGGGGGATCTATGTTTTGTAGCATAGTGGCACAACGGTCAGCGCAGTGTTACCAATCCGTCGGGCTTCGTGGGTTTGATTCCCAGACACAGCGAGCAATCAATGGCGAGTGATATCTTCGTGGGTTTGATTCCCAGACACAGCGAGCAATCAATGGCGCGTGATATCTGAACCAGTCTTGGGTCCCCCCCTAGGTCGACGTAGCCCTTAAATTACGAGCCCCGAGTATTTGGTGCGAATATCAACACCGAGGGGGCAAGATAGCCAGGCGTGGTTCTGGCTACACCCCCACATACAGAGATCACAGCTGGGTGGGTGTTCGCTTCCAGCACCTGGCCCAACATGCCCGTGTCGACTGCACGGTGGGGTTTTATTTTTGGAAATGCGATTCCATTCCGGCAGTACGTTTCAGGAGCTCGGTGTCTCTCGAGAGGGCCTCGAGAGGGCCCCGTTGAAGGAGCGCAGATCACGGTGGGTTTTTACTTGTGACGTCCACATAGTTTGTGTGTGCGTGTCCACATTTACACAACTGTGGCTCGTATTTAGTCACGCATTTATGGGTCTCTATGAATCTACCGATCTGTATGAAATCGACGCGTGTGTCAATTGCAACTTTATGTATCTCTGGGTATATGAATCTCGACGTATATCGAGGAGTCTATAGGTCACTATGTATCTCCGATATGTGACTTTACGTATCGGTCCTGGTCTACGTATCTCTGTGGGTCTCTCTGTATAAAGGGGGGGGGGGGGCAGGCTACAGTGGCTTAGCTTACAGTCCGTGGTCCATGGTTTGGCTTGCATGGCTACAATCGCACTGTGGCTTAATTTGGCAATGACCCAGGGTGCCCACACGGCGACACAAGGTCGCGAAAGTGCCAGAAATAAATCAACAATTCGCAAAGTCAACTCCGCTTCAACAAACCGAGGAAATCCTGCCGATCGGCGCTGCCTGATAAGCATGAGGAATTAAAACACAATCATCACCCACCACCACTACAGACCGCATTCACACAAAACACACCAAGACAAAGGTCGCCCGTGTAGCCTGTAACAGACTGTTGGGGCAAGTGCTGTTAGCAAGCACCTATAAAGGCCGGAACGTCACACGAGGGGGTGGGTGGCAAACACCACGCCCGGCCGCCTTTGTCTCCCCAGCGGCGATGTTCACTACACACACCGCACCAGGTATTCATTTGAGGCACACACACACCACACAATATATACACACAACACACAGCGTGCACACCACAACCTACACACTACACACAGCGTGCACACCACAGCCTACACACAATACATCGTGCCCATCACAATCTACACACTATACACAGCGTGCACACCACAGCCTACACACAACACACAGCGTGCACACCACAGCCTACACACAACACACAGCGTGCACACCACAGCCTACACACTACACAGCGTGCACATCACAACCTACACACTACACAGCGTGCACATCACAACCTACACACTACACAGCGTGCATGCCACAGCCTACACACTACACAGCGTGCACACCACAGCCTACACACAACACACAGCGTGCACACCACAGCCTACACACAACACACAGCCTGCACACCACAGCCTACACACAACACACAGCCTGCACACCACAGCCTACACACAACACACAGCCTGCACACCACAACCTACACACAACACAGCGTGCACACCACAGCCTACACACAACACACAACGTGCACATCACAGCCTACACACAGCGTGCACACCACAACACACAGCGTGCACACCACAACCTACACACAACACAGCGTGCACACCACAGCCTACACACAGCGTGCACATCACAACCTACACTACACACAGCGTGGACACCACAGCCTACACACAACACACAGCCTGCACACCACACACAACGTGCACATCACAGCCTACACACAGCGTGCACACCACAACACACAGCGTGCACACCACAACCTACACACAACACACAGCCTGCACACCACAGCCTACACACAACACACAGCGTGCACACCACAACCTACACACAACACACAGCCTGCACACCACAACCTACACACAACACACAACGTGTACATCACAGCCTACACACAACACAGCGTGCACACCACAGCCTACACACAACACAGCGTGCACATCACAGCCTACACACAGCGTGCACACCACAGCCTACACACAACACACAGAATACAGACATAACTACACACACGGCATGCACATCACAACCTAAACTAAACAATGTATTTTATGTCTCTTACCAGGTAAGGCCCACTGAGCTGCATAGCTCCTTTTCATAAGCGACCTGGCCACAAATGATAACTCAACGTAGTTGCTTATCATTTGGAAATGTAGAGCAGCCAAATACTCCAAACGCATGACGTTGATTCTAAATGTGGAGGGGAAACCCGGACGACCCGGAGAGAAATCCACGCAACCACGGGGAGAGAGACACCGCAAACTCCAAATATACAGCAGCAGCAGGCGTCAGGGTCGGGATCGAACCCACGACCTCCTGCACACCAGGCGAGGAATTCAACATCTCCTAGCCACCGTGGGCCCCTACACACACACAGCGTGCAGAATTACAGCCAACACAAAGGCAAATATCCCCCGTCTAGCCTTAAAATACTATTGGGGCAAGTGTTGTTAGAGAGCAGCACCTACGAATGCCGGCACGGCACACGATGGGGTGGGTGGCCAGGACCACGCACAGCACCAGGCACTCGTTTGAGGCCGAGCCGACCTAGGGGAGGGCCAGGACCGGCACAGTCACACACGCACACGCATCCACAAGTGGCTTTCCACGCGAGTCAGTCACTCATGCAAGGAATGACGCCTCTACTCTGATTCACCAGCACCGCTCACCAACACACCTGACGCTATATTCTTAGCTCTTTCGGTAAAGTCACATTGAAGGGAAACAATAATTTACACCTGACGCTGCTCACTAACGCAGCACACTGCTAGTTCGTCTAACGATGCACACTCGTGGTGCTCACCAATACGCGTAACACTGCTCACCGCCGCATCTAACGCTGATCACTAACACGCATGCAACTTCTCACGAATACACCTAACACTGCTCACTAACACACCTAACACCGCTCACTAACACACCTAAGACTATTCACTAAAACACCTAACACCGCTCACTAACACACCTAAGACTTCTCACTAACACACCTAACACTGCTCACTAACACACCTAACACTGCTCACTAACACACCTACTACTCACTAACACACCTAAGACTACTCACTAACACACCTAACACTACTCACTAACACTGCTCACTAACACACCTAAGACTTCTCACTAACACACCTAACACTGCTCACTAACACACCTAACACTGCTCACTAACACACCTACTACTCACTAACACACCTAAGACTACTCACTAACACACCTAACACTACTCACTAACACTGCTCACTAACACACCTAAGACTATTCACTAACACACCTAACACTGCTCACTAACACACCTAAGACTGCTCACTAACACACCTAAGACTACTCACTAACACACCTAACACTACTCACTAACACTGCTCACTAACACACCTAAGACTATTCACTAACACACCTAACACTGCTCACTAACACACCTAAGACTGCTCACTAACACACCTAAGGCTACTCACTAACACACCTAATACTGTTCACTAACACACCCAAGACTGCTCACTAACACACCCAACACTGCTCACTAACACACCTAACACTGCTCACTAACACACCTAACACTGCTCACTAACACACCTAACACTACTCACTAACACACCTAACACTGCTCACTAACACACCTAATGCCGCTCACTAACACACCTAACACTGCTCACTAACACACCTAATACCGCTCACTAACACACCTAACACTACTCACTAACACACCTAACACTACTCACTAACACACCTAAACTGCTCACTAACACACCTACCACTACTCACTAACACACCTAAGACTACTCACTAACACACCTAACACTACTCACTAACACTGCTCACTAACATACCTAAGACTATTCACTAACACACCTAACACTGCTCACTAACACACCTAAGACTGCTCACTAACACACCTAATACTGTTCACTAACACACCCAAGACTGCTCACTAACACACCCAACACTGCTCACCAACACACCTAACACTGCTCACTAACACACCTAACACTACTCACTAACACACCTAACACTGCTCACTAACACACCTAACACTGCTCACTAACACACCTAATGCCGCTCACTAACACACCTAACACTCCTCACTAACACACCTAACACTACTCACTAACACACCTAACACTGCTCACTAACACACCTAAGACTATTCACTAACACACCTAACACTGCTCACTAACACACCTAAGACTGCTCACTAACACACCTAAGGCTACTCACTAACACACCTAATACTGTTCACTAACACACCTAAGACTGCTCACTAACACACCTAACACTGCTCACTAACACACCTAACACTACTCACCAACACACCTAACACTACTCACCAACACACCTAACACTGCTCACTAACACACCTAATGCCGCTCACTAACACACCTAACACTCCTCACTAACACACCTAACACTACTCAGTAACACACCTAACACCACTCACTAACACACCTAACACCGCTCACTAACACACCGAACACCGCTCACTAACACACCGAACACCGCTCACTAACACACCGAACACCGCTCACTAACACACCTAACACCGCTCACTAACACACCTAACACCGCTCACTAACACACCTAACACCGCTCACTAACACACCTAACACCGCTCACTAACACACCTAACACCGCTCACTAACACACCTAACACCGCTCACTAACACACCTAACACTGCTCACTAACACACCTAACACCGCTCACTAACACACCTAACACCGCTCACTAACACACCTAACACCGCTCACTAACACACCTAACACCGCTCACTAACACCTAACACCGCTCACTAACACACCTAACACTACTCACTAACACACCGCTCACTAACACACCTAACACCGCTCACTAACACACCTAACACTGCTCACTAACACACCTAACACCGCTCACTAACACACCTAACACTACGCACTAACACACCTAACGCCGCTCACTAACACACCTAACACCGCTCACTAACACACCTTACACCGCTCACTAACACACATAACACTACTCACTAACACACCTAACACTACTCACTAACACACCTAACGCCGCTCACTAACACACCTAACACCGCTCACTAACACACCTTACACTGCTCACTAATACACCTAACACTACTCACTAACACATCTAACACCGCTCACTAACATACCTAACACTACTCACTAACACCCCTAACACTGCTCACTAACACTACTCACTAACACACCTAACACTACTCACTAACACACCTTATACTACTCACTAACACACCTAACACTACTCACTAACACACCTACCACTACTCACTAACACACCTAACACTAATCACTAACACACCTAACACTAATCACTAACACACCTAACACTGCTCACTAACACACCTACCACTACTCACTAACACACCTACCACTACTCACTAACACACCTAACAACTGCTCACCACCACCACCACCCAAACAGCGGCTCCCACCAAACCCCGGGCGTCTTGTTGCACCCCGGCCGCTCGAGACGCCCAAGCCCCGCGCGGCACTCACCGGGTTCACGACGCACGCGACGCACCGCAGCTGTTGCACGGAGACAATTAATTAGCTCCCTCTCGGTGACGCAACGGTGGCACGGAGAGACAACGGGAAGGGGAGAGAGACAAAGGCGGGCCCGGGGGACAGGCAGAAGGGGTGGGGGGAGGAGGAGGAGAGACGCAAGACGCGCGGGGAAAGATAGGCGAGAGACGAAGGCGGTGCGAATTCAAGTCCCTGCTGCTCGGCGTGTGGAGCGATGCCTCCTGCTCCTGATCAGCACCCCCGGCAAAGGCAGCCGGCACCTCGACTCGAGAGAGGGCGGAAGCGGGGCACTCCCTGCCCCTCCCCTCTTATCCTCCCTCTGGCTCCTCCCCCCACCCCCCCCCCGACTCGCTCTCTCAGACTCCGCAACCTCCACCTCATCCACCTCCTCATCCCTTCTGACTCTCTCATGCACCCCCCTGCTGCTGTCTCCTCCTTCCCTCCTCGTTGCCTTCCCCTGGCTCCTGCATCACACCGCTCTCGCTCTCTCATCCATCTCCCCACTCCTCGCTAAACCTGGGTCCCTCTCCCATATTTCCCTGGATACCTCCTCCCTGCCATGCTCCCCCCAGCCTTCCCTGCACCCTCCCGTCTCCCACCCCAAGAATCACCGAACCACCCTTTCCTCCCTCCTGGCTCCCATCGGCACCCTCCCTGCCTCTGTGTCAGGCCTCCACCCTTCCCCGTCGTCTTCCCTACACTCCCTCTCCGACCATCCCGTCACCTCCATCTCTCCTCGCACGCTTTTCCTTTCATTCCCTATCCCCATCCCTCTCCCCTCCTCCTCCTCCTCCTCCCCCCTTCCGATCTCCTCCATCTCCACTGTCTCCCCATCCTCCTCCTCTGGTCCCCTACATCCATACTTGTTGTTTCACTCCCTCCATCCCTCCTCTCTCTCTCTGCTTCCCTCCTATCTCTCTCCTGTCCGTCTCCTCCCTCCACCCTACCACCTCCACCTCCACCTACCTGCCTGTCCCCCCCCCATCCCGGTGTGAAATACTCCACACGAAGCCCCCCTCCCCCGCACGCTCTGCAGGTGTGAGGCGACACGCGACGACCCTATACAAAAAAAGCCCTCCACGTAGAGTCCCATTGGCATCTCATTAAACGCCGTCACTCCGCTCATTATATTGGACTCAATGACACAGCGGGGGAGGCGTGGGGGGGGGGTTAGCCGAGATGAGGAGCCCCATCCATCCTGGGGGGAAAGGCGGCATCTCTCGATTCGTCACCTCCCGTGAAGTTCAGTTGCCATGATGTCTAAATCCAGTCGGCACAGGACTATGGCTTGCTAATGAGAATCTCTCGCATGACATTTACCAACTGTCGTTCCTGGACGGATAGCATTCGAGAACAACAACAAAAATCTAAAAATATATATTTTACGATTAAATATTTTATTGGCAGCGGCGCGGAGGCTCAACTAAAAAATATATAGGTGTAATTTATTTATCCGGGAAAGCCTCACCGAGTCGCAATAATATTTCAGCAAGATGTGGGAGGAAAGTGGCGTGGCCAAATAAAAGCCCATGCATGCGAGAGATGAATGAACACGATTTGCATTTTTTTCTGGGCGTGCTTAATGAATGCCTCAGCATCTCAAAGCCACTCGGGTCACGATATCTCATCTCGATCGCTGCAGTGTTCCCTCATAGCAGCTGTTGTTGTACTACAGGCGACACAGCAGCTGGCCTGGCCCGCGAGTCAGTACCGTATTCGTCCGGGGGGGGGCGATGTTGTTACGGGGTTATTCAATTGACGTAATTTGCAAATACGTAATTTTTCCAAATTTGGCAAAAAATCAATTTTTGGCACGTACTTTTTGGTTGTTGAAATAATAATATCAGAGGAACGTTAACGTGCGCATGGTAGATACACCCGCGGTATTATCCAGGGCGGCCGGGGGCTTGAACCAGCGCTACCGCTCGGCTACATTACCCCCACCACCCCACTGAGAATCACATTGAGTCGTTAATGGCTCGCCGCTCCATCTCCCTCGCGGACGCGTTCCATTCCTTGGCTGCGACGGCTTCGTCGTCATTATTCCTGAGCACTCCAGTACTCCACAGTTTCATCTTTTGAATGGCCCCTCCATAAATTAAAAGTGGTGGGAGACGGCCTAGGAGGAGGACACGAATGCACACAGATTATCAGTAAGAGGGTTTTTTTGGGTTAGTTTGCGTTAAAATATGTGTCGTTAAACCCGCCACCACCCAACACAGCCAACAATTAAGGTTTGTCACGTAAACAGAACATGCCAGTTCGTTACTAGTACAGCACACCGGTGTGTTGGAGAGCAAAGCCACAACATTTACAATGAGTACGGCGTGTCGCCAGTAATTACAACCAGCTCCATCAGGCGACAGCCAGAAGACGTCTACTCTCCCCAGAAGAGTTTATCCTTCCCAGAAGACAGCTACCCTCTCCAGAACATATCTACCCATTACAGAAGATAACTGCACTTGTTAGAAGATCACTACCCTTCCTGGTAGACGTCCACACTACATAGAAGATATCTACCCTACCAGGAACTCTCCTCCGTTCCGATTTTAAGCTTTCGTGATTGCAGGGATTCATCTTCTTGGTTCTTTCGGTAAAGTCACGTAGAATGGAAATAAAATAATGAAATAAAATAATAAAATTCTCACGACGTTTCGGCCACAACACAAGTGGCCTTCTTCAGGTGAAGAAGCAGGTCCATCAAGAAGACAGAACTTGAATGAACGCTGTTAAGCGAGGACCGCGTCTTTTGAAACTCCGCCCACACAGTTTCAACAGACACGGTCCTTGCTTGACCTGTTTCTTCACCTGAAGAAGGCCACTTGTGTTGTGGCCGAAACGTCGTGAGAATTTTATTATTTTATTTTCCATTCTACGCGACTTTACCGAAAGAACCAAGAAGATGATCTCCTCCGTTCCTAAACGAGTTTTGCCGTTCCCACGCGTGACATGATCGTCTCGATATCTTGGCGTTTCCCAGAAGACCTCTACCGTACTAAGAAGACGTCTACCGCGACTTTCGAAAACAAGAGGAGATTCTTCCGATAATTTTTTTTATTTTAACCCCATTTGTGGAAGGCTTCTTCCGTGCTCATAAGACGTCTACCTACCATTCCCAGAAGACACAAATAAAAACCTCTCCACTACCTCCATAGTCTATACTCTTTGGTTATTTCGGTATAAAGTCAGTGGTACAAGTTGTTTTGGGTTAGATCGCGTAAATTAATAAATGTGTCGTCAAACCGGCCACCACTCGACACAGCCAATTAGTAAGGGGTTTGTCACGTAAACAGCGTGCTGGAGAACAAATTCACTCCGTGTTTGTTAACTCCCCCCCCCTCCCTGTTCCATTCACCATAAGTTATCTACCGTTCACAGAAGATAAAAAAACCCTTTTGACTTAAAACTTTCGTGACTGCAGGAATTCATATTCTTGGTTCTTTCGGTAAAGTCACGTAGATATAAAAAAAAAATCTAATTAAAAAAATATATATATATTTTTAAATAATTTGAATAAAATACAAATAATTGATTGAAAATAATAAAGGAAATTTTTTGTTGTTAAATTAAATAAAACATTTCAATTAAAAAATAAATTGAAAATAAAGCAGAAAAACCCCACGACGTTTCGATCGCAACACATAAGCGGTCTTCATCAGGCGGGAAAAAAGACCGCTTGCGTTGCGATCGAAACGTCGTGAGTTTTTTTGCTTTTATTATTTTAAATTAAATCTTGACTCAGAGCTTTTGAGACCTCAGGAATTCATATTCTTTGGGTCTTAAGATAAATTTCGATTTGAAGCTTTCGTGACTGCAAGGATTCATCTTCTTTGGTTCTTTCGGTAAAGTCACGTAGAATGAGAATAAAATAATACATTAATAAAATAAAATGACACAATAATATTCTCACGTTTCGGCCACAACATTCTACGTGACTTTACCGAAAGAACCAAAGAAGAAAAAATAATTCATTCGCCAGAACATCTCTACCGTTTCCGGAAGATTAAAAAAAACAACAACCCCCCCGTTCTAATCACCGGAAGATGTCTACCGTTTACGGAAGATAACAAAACAAAACCCTGTTCCATTCCACCGGAAGATCTCTACCGGTCACGGAAGTTCTCCTCTACCGGTTACGGAAGATTAATTAAAAAAAAACAGGCGCCGACTTTCATCTTCCGGAAGAGTCTCCGCCGGTTTTCTCAGCGCTGCAGCGATGGTGTCCTCCGTGGTCGCGAAATTGCTCGGCCCCAGCCTGGCGCAGGGCCTCAAACTGTGGTAAGACGCGTGGGGGGGGGGGGAGAGCGGGGCCCCTCACGGCGGGGGGCCTTCGCGGCTTCGAGGGCCCTGGGAGGGATCGAGGAGGTGGGCGAGGGGTTACCGGAGGCCCGAGCAGTGAGAGGCGAAGTCGAGGCATTGGCGGGCAAGGCCCGTGAGCCAGGGTGACCTCTACGGGTCACGGGGTGCTCGTTGGGCCGTGATGTGGATGATTGATTTCAGGAGGTTGGATCATTGAATCAGGAGGTGGGCGATTGAGTTCAAGAGGTGAATCGTTGAGCCAGGCGATGGATAAGGAGGTGGATTTTTTTTTGAGCCAGCAGGCGGATAATTCAGCCAGATGGTGGACCGTTGAGGTGGCTGAGGTGATCATTTATATCGAGAGATGGATCATTTATATCGAGAGATGGATCATTTATATCGAGAGATGGATCATTTATATCGAGAGATGGATCATTGAGTTGCCAGGTGGATTTTGAGTCGGAAAGTGGACAGTGGACAAGGATTCGGATGGTTGAACCAGTACGTGGATTATTGAGCGAGAAGGTGGATCGTTGAGTCGGTGGATCACTGAATAAGGAGATGGACATTGAAGCCAGGAGGTGGAATAATTGAGCCAGGCGATGGATAACGAGGTCGACCATTCAACCAGTAAATGGATTATTGAACGAGCGGATAAATCGATCACCGAATAACGATGTGGACTTTCAGTCAGGCGGTGGATCAGTAAAGCATGAGCTGTATCATTGAGTCAGGAGTTGGAACACTAAGCGAGAGGATGGATGGAGCCGGGATGTTGATCATTAAGCCAGGACGTGGATAATTGAGTCGAGAGATGGATCGCCGAGTCTGGAGATATTTCATTTACGGAGGCGGTGGATCATTGGGGTCGGGATCAGGATCATCTGTGTTCACGATCAAAGTACTAGACGCTCTTTACAGCGAGGTTAAAATTGTTTCACATGAACCAAAGGACATCGGTGAAATTCACACACAGCTGCCAATGAAATGCTGTCACCCGATTCCCCGTAACGAACGTGTGACTGCTGGGGCCTGGGGGAGACTGATGGACGGGGTGATGCGTGTGCCCGAATGAAGCTAGTGCGGGGCCTGTAGCATTATTGTTGTTATTAAGGAGCCCTAAATAAAAAAAGCACATATAAAAACACAAAATGTTTACTTGCACAGTAAAGTAATTGTATTTTTTCATAGATAATACGACAAATCGCTCACCTTAAACACCCAGTCGTTCATAAAAGTTGAAGGCGGTATAGTACTATGGTAATAGAGCAAGTGCAGAATCACTGAACCGGAATTGATAGCTTGAAGGCATTTAGCGCGGGTCCCGTAGCTACATATGTAGATACTTTTGCTACGAGGATAACCCGGCACTGACTGGGGGGGCGTGGGATTGAGCGCCTCTCGTGTGAAACCCTGCTGACCCAAGTCTGAAATCTTATCGAGTGGGGGGGGGAGGGCATAGATTACGTTTTGTTTACGAGATCGGTGAGGGGGAATCGTGCTGTTATTTTAGATACTTCGCCGGTTTTAATCGATGTGAAATGTTTTTTTTTTTTTAAATCGCCCCAAATGCCTGAGACTTGATGGGTAGAGTGGACTTGCTGGTAACAGCGGTGTCCAGATCGTCTTCTGTGGAGGAGGCTCGTGAAGATCGCCACTGGGCATTTGGAGGCAGTCGCTCTCCGACAACCGATTAGCACGGTTGGCTACGTACGGTGCGAAAGAAGATCATTGTTTTTTTACCCGTTTATCTGGCAACAAAACTGACACCTTTTTTACAAGGAGTCATGTTTACATTGACCACAATACCTGCGGTCGGAACGCAAACAAAAAACAACTCTGATAATGTATGCACTGTGCTTGAAATTGATTGGTCCACACCCGAGACAGCTTTCTTTAGAGCCTCGTCTCACATGGTGTTGGACCAGAAGACGCCAAAAGAAAGCTGTCTCGGGTGTGGACCAATCAATTTCAAGGACAGTGCTTACATTATCAGAGTTGTTTTTTTGTTTGCGTTCCAACCGCAGGTATTTTGGTCAATGTAAACATGACTCCTTGTAAAAAAGGTGTCATTTTTGTTGCCAGATAAAAGGGTAAAAAATTTTTTTATCATATTTTGTTACTGGCAAATGTGGTTTCCAATGGTGGTGCGAAAGAAGTTCAACATACAACAGCAGAGGGTGGCTAAAATGCAAGTTGGCACAGTAGGGAGCACAGGTGGGGCATCTGACGATTATCTCAGGCAGTCAACCCACTGCGCCTGGGTCTGTCCCGTGACCTATCGGCGAGCCTTTGACATTTCACGTAACCTCGGGGTGCACCTGGCCTGGCACAGGCGCCGTCGTAACATCACCGGGGCTTTGTGGTGAACTGCGGTTGTTGTTTAGTGTGGTGAATGAAAAGTATTAAAATAATATCCGGTCATGTTTTTATTGGACAAATCTTTTTTACAGCAGCATTATCTCATTTTTTATATTTCCTCCAATCTTCCCGCTTGTGCTATTGGTGTCATGGCATGAGAGAGTGAATCTGGCCTCTCACACAGCAGGGCAATCTGTGTCGGAGAGAACTGCCGGCAGAAATAGATATCACAGAGCTACAGTGAAACCTTGGATTGCGAGTGTTTTGCAAGACGAGCAAATTTTTTTAAATAAATAATTTGATAAACGAGGGATGTCTTGGAATACGAGTAGTACGTATACGCTTTGTCTGCCGAGCGTCACGTGATCACAACTGAGCCAATGGTCCTTCTCTCTCGCTGTGGGATTGTGGGTAATCATCTCCCATGCTCGGTCTTAGTCGGCGTGCCTCACTCGTATAGTCAACATCCGTGCGAGCGTATACTGTTTACTACAGTACTATAGTGTTGTGACTACGTGTGTGTGTGCATAAAGCATTTTTTTTTATTTTGTGTCCAAGTGTAGTGACTGTTCTTTAGTAAACTGTACTGCAAGTGAAAGTCGTCCTACACAATAACCCTCCTCCTCTCTTCTCTCTCGTCTCCCTCACACCAGCCACGATTAAATGTAATTAATACATTTGATTGCTTTATATTACATTTAAATAATAAAAATATCAAAAGGTATTTTGTATTAATCATTTTATATGACTACAGTATTTTTGGGTTGTGGAACGAATCATCTGAGTTTCCATTATTTCTTATGGGGAAATTCGCTTTGATATACGAGTGCTTTGGATTACGAGCACGTTTCCGGAACGAATTATGCTCGCCATCCAAGGTTTCACTGTACTTCTGAGTTCCCTTGAAGTGACCTCTGAGCCACGCAGTAGAGGAAAGCATTTCCACACCTCTGCACTTATTTATCAAAGCACAATCGTAAATGAATAAGTGGAGATGATAAGAAGTTTACACGTGTCAATATAGCATTATTCATGCAGATTGCATCTAAAATCCCATAGAATTTGTAATGTGCAGTGTTACAGAAATTTCCAGACAAGCAGGAAGGCAATCAGAAGTTCTATTTTGGGATGTTTGGCCAACCACATTAATGAGTATTCACAAATATGGGAGTACGGTATTTGGAGAAGACCCGAACGTACGAGAGGGGATTAACTAATCAATCACCCCTTTACAGATGCAAATTATTTCACTTCATGTACTGCCATACCCTGGAAGGCCAGGAGATGGCGACCTCAACACCCACGTTTAGGAAAACAGTTTCATGGGTGTAATCCACCAACCCTCGCCTCCAAAGTGCTGATTTACCAACGTGCAACATAGCCACGAGTGCCTAGAGGAGGTGCCCATTTCGTACCTTGTCTGACACCGATGGCTCACTCGCGTGCGTCCATGTACCTGCCCAGGATCCCTTCAGGGGCGACGTGGGGAGGAGTTTGCGGAGTGACGCTTGTCTACCTAACCGACTGGAGGCTCATCCTCGACTACGTGCCATATGTCAATGGCAAGTTCAGCGAGAAAGACTGAAGGAGCTCCGCAGGTACGTTGGGTCTTGCTGGTCCTATGGCTTGCCACGGCCTCTTAGCGATACCCCCGTGTTCCCACATGGATGTCAGATTATTGTCTTGCCCTCTTGTCAAAACGCAGCGTCAGTGAGCATCGTATTGGCCACACGCCGTTGACAAACGCCGTCTAAATCGGCGTATTGCAACTCCAGTCCTCGTAACACCACCCCATGGGACAGATTTCCACGGTCACCTTCAGGTGCGTACAGTGGCTTAATTTGCATGTGAACAAGAAAAGATTGATAATTGGGAAAAGGCAGGCCGTGGGATAAGGGTGGTCGGGTCATGGTTGTTGGAATTGAGGAACGACGGTTTTAAACTTTAAACAGGGGTTCTGCAGCTGTTTCTGGAAGGTGACGTAATGTGTGTATAATGGCGGTCCACCTACGTTGGAAGATCACGTGGCATAACGTCTGTCCATGTGAGCACTAATCAGGTTTACATTGTGGTGTATATCACGGCCTGAACTGGCTGCAGGAGTAATGTGAACTCATTACATGCCACTTGCAAAAATGAAAAACATTAATCTTTAAGACATGCAATTCAATGCATCTGTCGTGAGCTCGAAGAATCTGTACTGACAATTCAAGGATAATGGCCCTGTTGAGGGTTGACTGCATAAATGCAACATGTCAGATATACAATAGTTGAGTATTTGCGTGTTTCGGAATGTGGTTTTCTTTGCTGGCCATCACACTTGTGTGCAACAATGCACATCTGTTCGCACACCCTTTGGTGTCTTCCTGCGCACACCTAAAAAAAGCCTCAACTCAAAAGTGATTTCCTGCTCAAATGAGCATTGAGGCAGTGCTCCGGTTCACAGGTCTGAGCCAGTAGTGGGAACTCCTATCCTTTGGCAAGTAGATGTATCCAAAGGATCACCACTGTTTACGTCCCACAAAGTGGTACCCATTTTACCAATCCTGGAGGACCAATGTATGGATTAAGTCCGAACCAGAATTTGAACTTGCAACCTTCCAGCTGTGAAGCGGCTCGTTCACCACTGAACGACCTCCGTATGGCTCCCACGAAGCATTCGATTGGGATTTGCACAGCATACATGATGACATACCTTTAAAAAATCACGAGTGGGTCTTCTGCAAGTAAAATATTAACTGTTGTTTTTACCCTACATTAGAGACCAGTCTTTGCAATTTGTGTACGCACTCATATTATTCCGTGGCAAATCTTGACGCGACGTTTTCTTTGCAGGGGATATGAAGCATCAGCCAACGCTTGTACGGGATTTCTCCAGGCTGCGTCTCCATCCACCGTTCACTATGCTTGGCTTCGCCGGAAATGGGTGCAGCGTTTTCCCCCCTTAACAAATAACATGGCTAATCTGTGACTGGTTTCTCTATTTAAAAGTCCAGATAAACAACATTTACTTTCAACTACTGTGCTGTATTTAGAAACTTGCTTTGAAAATAAAATGTATTTACTGGCCAATTATCTGTTGAGCATGTTTCAACATCGGGCTTTAAAACAAGACTGCACAACGACACGTATGGTAATTTGGAAGAGGTGGCCTGTGTGGTTGAAAGGTCGGTGTCGATATGCGGCGCTGAGATTTAGTTCCAATCCAGGCAGTCACCTATGATTAAAGAGGGTTCTTTGATTTGATGGTTTCAGCCCAGTCACCAATGACGACAAAACACCTTAACATTATACGTCTCAACTTGGCTACATTCTAGTTCAGAAATTGAAAGTATCAGTTTTACTGTTACTTGACAAACACTACTCTCATGTGACCTCAGCAGCTGGGAGTGAGAAGGTGCTGCCCTGCACTGTGGACCAGGTCAATGGTATCTGCTTCCATGGATTATTCTCTAACACGAATAAAGGGTTGCACTGCTGTGTGTGAGTTACAAATGGATACTTTTCATGACATGATACCAATCGCGTAATCTAGATAAAGTTTTCGTGAACAATTTTTACGAAAATAACCCGATAGTAATCAACTCATGAATAATAAAAACACATGCATGCTTTTGATGTATGCATCGTGAGCTCAAGATCCCATTTTAATTGGACTGATGCATCAATCCATGCCAAGAAAATGTGGTTGACCCTAAGTTGAGCCCAAGTGCTGCCTACTTTAATGTCAATATATTCTACAAAGGGATATCAAGCCCATTAATTTCCACAACAATTTTTATTGTAAATAGACTTTAATATTTCCATTCACCAAGAGGTTTTAAAGGATGTGCATAGCTTGTAAGAGTAAGTGGTGGTGCATCTTCCAAACAAATGATATCACTCAGCATGTTTGGTGAACCTACATTTTTCATTTGCCACACCTCTGACCAAGACTTAACACATTCATCTATTTAAAAAAAAAGCATTGACCACTTGAGTGCGCAACAACAACAAAAAACCCAACCACCACTATTACAAGGTGCATTTCCCCTGCAGAAAATAACTTAGAGCCATTCTCCCACCGAGATGTGTATGCAAGAAACGGCCTCCGAATATCATCACGTCACACGCAAGGCAGCCACCACATCAGGTGCAAATAAAAATACTTGCGTTAGTGGCGACTTCAACATTGCATGCCAGACACCATGTGCGCAAATTTTAAGGAAATGTCAATTTTACCAAAATTTCATGTCGCCAGTTAAAGTACGTAACATTTTCTATAAAAATGTATTTATATTGGCAAAGGTTGAACCTGCAACCTGAAACCCCTATTTTCAACAGCTTCAACGATGCATTATTTTGGTTTAAGTGACTTAACTGTGTATAGTACTCCCCCCGCCCTGTCGTATTTAATTAGTAAAATGGGAAAAAAACAGACGATGCTCTATAACGCAGCTATGACAGTGAGAAAAGAGTCAAATGTAAAAACATTTCAATCTGCCTAACGTGCCTTTGATCACCAAAACCTTTTCCTCGTGAAAGTGCCACTGCTATTACAAAAAAAATCATGGCCCCGAGAGAGGAGCTTCCACTACTGGCTGGATGCAGCGTGTGGTGGACCCTTGTGACCCATGGGCGCACGCCGCTTAATATAGTCGTGGAGGTTATTCCCAAATGCCCTCATCTTCTTTCCATATCCCAGCACTTCCAAGTAGACCTGCACAGCCTCCACCAGCTCCTCGAAGCTCATCTGGTTCCGGAGTAATTTGCCATCTCTGTAAAACTGGTTCAAGAAGCTCTCCAGTTCATTCCAGTGGCGGAAGTTCCCGATCTGTTCCAAGTAGCGGCGCAGTATCTGGAGCATCTCGGGGGCACTGACGATGTCCTGCGGCTTTCCTGCTGCGTCTGCTCCTGAGGTTTTTCTGTTGTTGCTCGTCTTCTGGGCTTCACCCTTTCCCCTCTTGCTCCCGGGACTGCCGCTGTGGCGTACGACTGTTGGTCGTTGACTTGCGTCGTTTTTAGCGTCCTGAGCTGTCCTCTCGTTTTTATGTTTATTTATGTCATTGTGCTGTTTCACATTAGACGGCTCATTCATTGTCGCAGTGTATTTGTGAGATCTCGCCTTATTTTCCTGGCCTCTTTTTTGTTCAAAGAAGTTCTTGCTTTTTTCCTTCCACCTCTTGAAAGTGGACTTGAAAGAGTCACTGATTTTCTGAAATTTGTCACCGATTGCTTTTTTTGCGTGTTTTAACTTCTCCTTTTGCTTCTGGAAGAAGGCTTTGGCAGATGTCTTCATCTTCTCAAAGGTCCCCCACCTCTGCCCACTTTTATGTTTGGGTTTTTTTGGGATATGTTTTTTCGAACTTTTAGGTTCTTGTCGCTTTTCCCGGGGCACTTCTCTGTGCGGGCCTTCCTTGCCAACAGTTTCGTCTTCTTTCACGATGGGTTCTACAATAATCCCTGAGCCAGTAGATTCAGATGGTGGATTAGTTTTACTTTCAGTATCCAATTCATTGCTTTCTTGTTTAAACTTTTTGACGTCTTCAAGAGGAGTTATGATTGTGGTTTTGTATTGAGAATCCTTCAATTCGTCCAGAAAACTCTCTTCAGAGTGAAAAAGCTTGGATTGCTGTGCCGTCTCATCTTGCTTGCTTCCTCGCTCTCCAAAGCGGCGACTAAGCCGATTTGCCAGGGCCGCTAGCTCGGCCTGAATGCTGTGCTTCAGTTCCACGTCAGATTCCACAATTCCGCCATCACCTTCCCCCGTCATTACCGGAGCTTCGACCTCTGTCATCTTCAAGTTGTCCACCTTGTTGCTCAGCCGCTGCAGCTCAGTGAGAAGTTCTTTCAGGTCGACTGGTTTCTGCTCTTCTATCCAATCTGATGCAGCCACATTGTCTGATGCAGCCACAGTGTCTGATGTAGCCACATTGTCCATCTGCCTTATTTGACCTCTATTCGATAATGAAGTCCCCTCATCACCTTTTTCCTCCGCAAGTGAAGCGATGTCTTGAATCTGCACTCCAAACAGTAGATCACGTATAAACAATGAGCTCATGCAACATGGGAACGTTCTCTCCATTAGAGATTTTATAAATAGTTGCGATTTCCTTCAAAAATCGATTATCTTTTAACATTGTGAATGTAGCATCTCTAGTGGCTGTAGGGGTTACATGAACTCATTACATATCATGTATCATCAGCCATGATCTATCCACTTTTGGGTCAAGGCTTCCCCAAATTGTTGACATCCCTTGCAGTCCTGCAATGCAACAAATCATCCTGCACACAAGCCCATGTCATCGGACCATCTCTGCGGCAGCTGCGTCCTCTCGGGCATGCTCCCACCTTTGGCTGCCACTCCCATCATTAGCCTCGAACACCAGCGTTTAAGTAACATGTACAGCAAAAGCTCTGTCAACCAGGACTTTACCATCCAGAACGCTCTCTTAACCGGCATCTGTGACAGAAAGAAATACAAATCTTCATTCACGTATCCAGATAAAAATCTGACAGCCATCGGGCGTCTTACCTTGCGCTTATCATAGATCTGTTGCTTACGGAAGCTTCAGGATGCTGCCAAGTGGTGGCGCTAGCGGCAGTCTGTACATATGGTACTGTACTACTTGTATACTGTACTCCAAACGGCCCCATTGCTTCTCTACAATCAACTTAGAATGTTCTAGAACTGACTATAAAATACTTTTAATTTAAAGCTTTCGTGACTGCAGTAATTCATATTCTTAGTTTTTTCGGTAAAGTCACGTTGAAGGGAAACAACAAAATAATAAAATATATATAAAACAATAAAAAATTCTCACGACGTTTCGACCATAACTCAAACGGTCGTCTTCAGGTGTGTTGGTTTGCATAAATTTATTTTTAAACGGCGCGAGAGATTCGTTCATGAGGCTATCCACATATACAAGCACAGAGACAATTTCAACCGAGAAGATGGATTCTATCTTAGCAATCATTGGAAAGATTTGATAAACCATTTCTGGTCTTAATTGATTGTTCACGCTTACAGTGGCTTTCAGACAGCATACATTATAAAAATTTCGTCTCCCCCCTCCTCTTTTCAGAATATAGATGGACTAGTCCTAAATAAACTGCCAAATCGTTGCGCGTGGCGCTAACGTTTTTATAAATAAATAAATGCGCCGTTTAAAAATAAATGTATGCAAACCAACACACCTGAAGACGACCGTTTGAGTTATGGTCGAAACGTCGTGAGAATTTTTTATTGTTTTATATATATTTTATTATTTTGTTGTTTCCCTTCAACGTGACTTTACCGAAAAAACTAAGAATATAAAATACTTATTTCTTACTCACGGGAAGTACCCAGCGTTGCCTGGGGGAAAAATATATTTCAAAACTTTTCTTAAAAACATAACATACACATAGACAAATACTAAGCTATTGTGAAAGCCCGGCGTGCCGTTTGTCCATTTGCCTGTCAACAAAATTATAAGACGCTTGCAGAAGTCCAAAAAGTAATTGAAAGTGGGGGGTATTTCCAAAAATTGTCGACCCACCCCCCTCTCAAAAAAAATGTTTACCCCCACGTAGGCATATATACCTAAACACCCTACATACAACAGTGAGTCATATCTAGTGACTCTAGTAGTATGACTCTATAGTAGTATCTGGCTCTACAGTATCTACTGACTCTATAGTCGTATCTATTGACTATAGTCGTAACTTCTGAATCTATAGTATCTGCTGAAGCTATAGTATCCATTGACTCTATAGTAGTATCCACCAACTATAGTAATAACTACTAACTATAGTATCTGCTGACTCTGTAGTAGTATCTGTAGACTCTACAGCATTATTTACTGACTGCAACAGCATATACTGACTATAGTGGTAGCTACTGACTCTAGTATTATCTACTGACTATAGTAGTATCTACCAACTCTATAGTAGTAACTAATGACTATAGTGTCTACTGACTGTAGAAGTATTTACTGACTGTAGTAGTATCTACTAACTCTACAGTTGTATCTACTGACGTTATAGTAACATCTACTGACCGTAGTAGTATCTACTGACTGTATAGTAGTATCTACTGACTGTAGCAGTATTTACTGACCGTAGTGGTATCTACTGACTGCAGTAGTATTCACTGAATCTCTAGTAGTACTAACTTCACAGTGTAGCGGTGAGGCCTAGTCCCGTGCAGAGCCCCCGGCCTTGCCTAGATTTCCCGGCCGGCCGAGGTGGCACCTTTGCAGCCTGTGGCTGGTCTGCTATCCTCCCCCCCACCATCCTCTCGCCCACTCTACAGTCATATCTAAGGGCTATAATAGTAGTATCTACTACCCTATAGTAGTAAGTGCACACATTGGGGTGGGGGGGGGGGAGAAGAGGACATAACACTTTTAACAATTTACCTCTGCGTTGTGTCTATTTCTTTTGCATTTTTAACGCGAATTAGAATTCCCCCCTCCCCCCACCGATTGCGTGTGCGCGTTGCTAGGGCAACCACCGGTCAGCATTTCACGCATTTGCTTTGGCACGCGCTCAGCGTAGTAATATAATAGTACTAAATTGTTAATTTAACTACTTTTACGTTTACAGATGTGAAATATGAATAGCGCTGGCTCACCACGTGGCTTATCGCGTGGTATCTAGGTACTTTTTTGAAACGTAAACCCCACAGTTTGCGAGTTAAATCCGTTGCAAGTTGCGTACACAGACGGGCACAGACAGACTGACAAAACATGACTTATACAGGTCAGATACTATAGTTAAAATGTAGGCTTAAGTTTCTTTGTTGAAGAGTTTTATGTACTTGGAAATTTGGTGAACCATACGTAAACCTCTCAAATAACCAGCATATCTGATTAACTAGCACCCTTAATTCTCCATGGATGCCAAACACATGCGCACAATAAAGGTATCATGCCAGAATCCATTTGAATCAATGGACGATTGTGTCTCCATCATTACGTGCCAAATGTATGTATCTAGAACTTCTTTCGAACCTAAATAAAACGTGTAGTTCATATTCTTAGCTCTTTCAGTAAAGTCAGAGCAGAGAATATGAATTACTGCAGTCACGAAAGCTTTACATCAAAACGTGTAGTGTTTAAAATGTTTCATTAAACAGCATACTTAGGCCAGCATTTCATCACAAGTATTAATAATTTGAGGCACACGTTTCATTTTAAATTAGTTTAAACAGCCACTCGACTGCTTGTATTACACAAAGGGTGTCGTTTTCTGTTAGGAAATTCGATATTTCGAAAACTACCTTGCCAACAGACTAACCCACCATTGTGCTCTCATTAGCATTCACGACGCATCCTGAATTCTGTAATCGGATACAAACCATAGAATCTGGCAGAGCAGGTGCTGCAACGTCCAGAGGGTTGAGGTCACCTGCAGCCTCTTTCAGGTCTGGCGATGTAATTCCCCCTTGAGGGTCTCCTGGAAGCACACATTCCACTTTTCCCAGTCAGTAATTATTTAAAGTTACGTTAAATACATTGCACTGGCCTTGGCATTTCTCATTTGTCTCTACATGTTATTTATATTTTAATTACTGAATTTTTTAAATTAATTATCTTGATGCCTATGACCCCCCCTCCCATTTGCAGATCCAGTCACGTCGAATAATTAATAATAATTAACAGCTCTTTGCACATACAGTGGTGGAGGAGGGCCTCTCCATGCCATGTTGGTCATGGGGGATATTTGACCATATCACACTGGTAAGTGCATTGTTTAAGGTGGGACCCAGATCAAATATCACTTACCACTGATATTAGCCATGGCCTGGAATCAAAATCAGCTCCTCGGGTTCGTAGCACAGCGCACTAAACCACCGCACTAGTGCTCCTGCCAGCAACATTTAGATGCTTTATAAATCTCAATTGTATCGCGACGCACTTACGCTATGAAGCGCACTTGTAAGGCCATGAGAGTTAGCTACTGCATAACATACACTGCTAATTTCAGAAATTAATGTTTGGAAATGTGACACCCTCACAAATACAAACCCCTCCTTTTGTGGTTGGCTGCAAGAAATAAAGTGGGACACTCCACAACCAAAATGTCCGAACTTGCTCAGCAACATGTTTGGAGCATGAATGGATGCCCATTATAACACAAATAAACCTGTGTGACTACATAGCTGGACTGGCAGCAGATTCCACCAACACTTGAATCATGCATTTGGAATTCGCCAACAATAGCAGTGGGGGAAGAAGGTGGGTCAGGTAGTTACCGGCTGGTGTTGGGGCGTTCCCATAAAGACAGGGACGGGACAAAAATCAACAACTGTGAGTGAAGGCACCCACCCAATGGATGAGCCCAGGATCACCTATCCTGTCTTTGCTAGTCAGGGAGACAGTGCACCCTAAACCCTGAAGCCCAGCGGGCGAATAGGAGATTGACTATGCACCGATTTATCGACTAAAATTGAGCACACTATCAATGAGGCATGCAAAAAATTGAAACAATACAAATGAGATGGTTTAAATTAAACCAGACATATACGAATTGCATTGTGACCCTGAATTCAACTAATCTTGTGGTGCGGGGGATAAATCATTATGTGCCACAAAGGGCTGTGTTGGCACCCAGGGTTAGGGTTCAGGTGGTAATATGCATCCTAAAGGGCACGTCATGACCATGTATGAGAAAAAGGTGGATAGAATTGAGGTTATTGATCCGCGTCTGGGCTATCATTTTTGCCACAGCGCTGTTTCCCAGGGCAGTGCTATGCTTCATCCCAGCTACTGCCACTGACCTGCCATGAACTTCCTTAAGGCGGCCAAGGCTATGACGACGCATGCGACGCAGATGATGCAGCCGTGCAGCGAGATGGACGTCTGTGCCGCGGGGTGAGCAGACACGTGGTGCTCTCCCCTGGGGCTCTTCCTCTTGGAGGGCCGGCGATGGCGCAGCGTGGCGGGAGCCTCGGGTGAATTGCTCTCGTCACTGCTCGATGGTTGACATACCTTAGCGGTGTCTGTAAAAGGTCGTCCAACAGAGAGTGCGGTCACACGGGTTACATTCAGAAACATACGAGCAGTCGTTTCTCATTAAGCCCCGTCGAATGATTCAGACAAATCATTATTCGTTAGGCGTTTAGTGATTCACCCTCCTCCATGTGACTCGATGAATTACCACGATTTGGGGTCATAATACAGTATGATTAAATAATCAATTCCTTTATCTTTAATTTCTCCTGCCTCTGCCTTGTTTGTAACAGCCTTGTTTCAGGAGCCGAATTAAAAATTAACATAACCCCATAATGCATCAATCAAAAGTAACCGATTATTACAAGCACTATCATACTATCCTTATCTTCGGAGGTCCAAGGAGATCGGCACAGGGTGATTTGGTCATAAGCACAATTACGGTTTCATATGAACCACCTGGCTTTAGGTCGTTATAATCTGGATTAAAATCGTTATGTTCTTTTGGGCCTTTCGGTAAAGTCACGTAGATAGGTTCAAAGACATAACAAAATAACAAAAACTACGACGTTTCGATCGCAACACAGGTGGTCGTCATCAGGAAAAGGGGGATGACGACCGCCTGTGTTGCGATCGAAACGTAGTTTTTTGTTCTTTTGTTACTTTCTTTGAACCTATCTACGTGACTTTACGAAAGACCCGAAGAATATGAATTTCTGCAGTCGCAAAAGCTTTAAGTCAAGATTTAAAGTCGTTATGTTCACGTTGTGCGCCCACACAAATATATTAAATGCAATGACTACACATCATAATAATTCACACCAATGCCACCCCAGAAATTATATTAATTCTCACAAATCTATCTGTAATGAGCTTTGATTGTTACACCTTGTACGCCAAGCTTTCTCATGGTACTCCCAGTAGTCTTCCACTACACGCCACTTATAAAAATATGTTTTTATACCAGTCCTGCTACAGAGAGTAATATTTGTTGGATGGCAGTCAAACCAATACATTTTAATTCTCAGAGCTGGAATTCAGCCAAATTAAATCCAGAACCAAATGTTGTGAAATGTTATGGAATTTAAGTGGGTTGTAGACCCATCTGTGCAGACCCTCAGGTGTTATCTACTTATATAAGTGGTGGCTTTTTCAAGGACTCAGCTTTTCTCCCACATGACAAAAGCAATACAAAATGCTCATTGAAAATAGTTGGCCAAACATTTCAATAAACCCTCCTGAAAAACGTATTTAGACTCAGTGAAGCTTTCCTTTGTCAACAGCATCATTATTACCACCATCATTCTCAGTGCTATTATTGTTAATGCTGCCCGAGCACAATACACACACACTCACTTTTTTATACTATTCATGGTAAGGACTACACTCCTCATTGCTGAAAACTAACACGGGCATGCTGAGACTTGCCTGGCAAGGGAGTAATGCGCATAAACTCGTGGCTGGGGGCAGCCTCCGCACTCCTCGAGTGGACGAGCAGCTCGGGCCCAACTTCCTCGACGACATCTGGGTCCAGCGTCACGATGTCCGAGTCCTCATCTCCGCTGTTGCCACCAACGCCACTGCCGCCGCCGCCGCCACCACCACCACCAAGCTCTCCCTCCTGAGTCTCCTCCTTCTCGTTTTCCAAAGAAATATGTGTTGGTGTCTCTTGCACAAAACAAACCATCACCAAAATAACTCAGAATATAGACCAGGTGTGGGCAACTTATGGATCATGGGCTAAATTCGGCCTGTGACTTCATCTCCGATACAACCCGTGGCCACGTGAGACCTACCACTTCACCACGGTCTACAAACTATGTGTATCCATCACTGCAAGCATCTTAGGGACACTAATTGGGTACTAAAGGGTAATTTATTCAACCTTGTAACACTGTGCATTTTATTATATAAGTCACGTTATCACTGCAAGGAGCCTCTGGCAGTGACAGAAGTGATTCAAGTGTTATCGTGTGGCTAACTGCTAAAGATGTTTGACTTATTCAGCCCTCAATAAGGAAATGGTTCCTCACCCCTGATTTAGAGACGGTCATTCTTGCCTAAGCTAAACAAGGGATTTTTTTAGGGCATTTTTTTTTCGTGAAATTAGGTGTTGGCACAGTGATACTGTGCTATGAACCCACAAACCTGAGTGGTGGATATCTGAATCTGTTCTGGGCTCCCACCTCACCAACCCAACACTGACCTGTTTGGTGAAGTATGACCGACATGCTGTGGGGAGGAGGCCTTCATCATTGTTTTTCTAACACAATGTTATTTATATTCTTAGTTTTTTCGGTAAAGTCACGTTGAAGAGAAACAACAAAATAACAAAATATATATAAAACAATAAAAAATTCTCACGACGTTTCGACCATAACTCAAACGGTCATCATCAGGTGTGTCGGTTTGCATAAATTTATTTTGAAAACGGCATATTTATTTATTTATTTATATATAAAAAATAATAACGTTTGCGTCACGCGCAACGATTGGCAGTTTGCCCAGGACTAGTCCATCTATTTTTTTAAAAGAGGAGGGGGGAGACGAAATTTGTTTTTATGTATGCTGTCTGAAAGCCACTGTAAGCGTGAACAATCAATCAAGAACTGAAATGATTTATCAAATCTTTCCAATGATTGCTAAGATAGAATCCATCTTCTCGGTTGAAATTGTCTCTGTGCACCAATGGAGAAACCAAACGCCATATCTCGGACCGCATTCGTGAACATAAAGCAGACCTTAAACACGGTAGGACCAACACCTCGGCCGTAGCAGATCATTGTTCTAATTCAGTAGGCTCACATGCCATTGACTTTTCCAAGACGGAGGTTCTTTGTAAGCCATCTGGCTTCCATGAGAGATTCGTTCATGAGGCTATCCACATATACAAGCACAGAGACAATTTCAACCGAGAAGATGGATTCTATCTTAGCAATCATTGGAAAGATTTGATAAATCATTTCAGTTCTTGATTGATTGTTCACGCTTACAGTGGCTTTCAGACAGCATACATAAAAACAAATTTCGTCTCCCCCCTCCTCTTTTAAAAAAATAGATGGACTAGTCCTGGGCAAACTGCCAATCGTTGCGCGTGACGCAAACGTTATTATTTTTTATATATATAAATAAATAAATATGCCGTTTTCAAAATACATTTATGCAAACCGACACACCTGATGATGACCGTTTGAGTTATGGTCGAAACGTCGTGAGAATTTTTTATTGTTTTATATATATTTTGTTATTTTGTTGTTTCTCTTCAACGTGACTTTACCGAAAAAACTAAGAATATGAATTACTGCAGTCACGAAAGCTTTAAATCAAAAAATACAATGTTATTTATTTAGCATGAACATTGACAAATGCATTTAGCATGATGGCCTCGATTGACTCAGTTTAAACAAAGCCTAACATTTTGTTACCAATGTCAACAGCACTCCACCAAATGCCACGAGCCATTTCAGCTGAATAAACATGCTTACTTTGGCGTATGATGGTGTTAGCTGTTCTTGTTCCTCTGTGACAAAAGACTCCGCCTGACTCACTGTTGCGAGCAGAATCCCTGTTAACAAGACGTTTAAAAAGTAACACACAACGAACTGTAACTCCGTTAAAAACAAGTTTGTAAAAATCATGCATATGCATGGATGATGTAATGCTCTCCAACATGCACTTGTCTTTGGAAGTATTTCATTTGCAGTATGGAAGACAATAACTGGGCAAAAACGCATTTTCATATTGGCAAACCGTAACTGTTGCTCTTGTTTGTCTCCAAGTTTTGGGCAACCCCTTTGACCAATTTCTCTGGTTTTCAATACAGAAAATCCCTACTAGCAACACAACTTTACACTACAGATTCGTTCATATTGGATGATCTTTACAAGAGCTATCATGCCCCCACCATTATGAATTGATAGACAGAGGAAAGGAATACTTTTCGCCTTAGTTGGAAAGAATTACAAAACAAGTTAAAACATTGCACACACAAAGCGTAATATGTCAGTCTTCTTTTACAAAGTAGCCCCAAGACTGGCCTTGCAGTTTTGTTTACATTGTATCCGCTTATAGCTCTCCGATGTGTTTTGCATGTTGCAACAGGTGTTCGCAGGTGGAGCTGCGTGTCCAGACATCATGCCGTACAACACGCGGGACAACCCATAAGCACATCCATCCAAGAGCCATACAGCAGGGACACGAAAGCTTACGCAGTTGTATGTCACCTTCATTCTCTTTTGGCCTTTCAAATTCTTGCATGGGTGGTGTGGTAGCAGCCTGCAGATTCTCTGTCATTGCCACGGGCTCGCTTTCATTGGTAACAACATCGTTGTCATCTTGTGGCGTCTGAACGGCGGCAGCCTCCTACCAGCAAAAACCAAGTCAGGCACTGATGGCAACACCAAGCATGACGTGTCACGTGGCCAGTGACTTAGGGGGGAAGGGCGAGAATGCAAATCATAGGTGGTGTTCACAGTCTGGAGGTTTTACCTCTAGTCCAAGCGGGTTTCAATTGAGCATGAAGTGATTACGAATGATTTAGATATAACAGGTTCACACAGGTTTTGTTTTTAAAAGAAGCGAGTTATTTGTCTTGATAAGATTTTTTTCTACTATGCTGGAATGCTTGTGATGGTTTATTGGGCTCATTATTGGATGTTGTTGGACTGGTTGAATTATCGACTGCCTGATAACGGATTGTGTCTTGTGACACTGTCTTGTTGAAATAATGGATTCTGGCAGTCGTTTCATCAGTGTGTTTTTGAACACTTATCCGATGGCAGGCCATATCTCACATGTACAGACGGTATGAATTCACGTGGCACAGATGTGGCCCACGGGCTGCCAGTTAAATCACCCATCCTGCTCTCGGAACATTTTTTTTTAATAAACGTCTGGATACTTCTGTCCGCTGCTTCGAAGGCCTTTTGCCTCTCGGTCGCAGCTACACTAGCGCTGCAGTGACCATCGCGATGAACCCAGGTTAAAGCAATGGTAGTGAGTGGGGGGTAAGGTTGAGTCAGGGGTGAGGTGCTGACTTACTTTGGGGTCGATGACAGTCCAGCTTGAGAGCCCCTCCGGGTCACCACTCAGGACACCTGACATCTCTGCATGGCCAGACACAGACACGCCGTACACACTGGAATGGCCACCACCACCACCATTCATCATCAGCAGCAGCAATCATTATTAAGCCACTGCTGGATGAAGGCTTCCTCCTCAAGTCATCTCCATCTCCAAAGGTCCTGCACATGGGCTGATCTCATCTAAATCCGTACAAAGTACAGTGCATTAATTTAAATTCCTTCACGCCTATTTAAGCTCTTATAAATCTGATTAAAACTTAACCTAATCTAAACTCCCTTAAACACGTACAGCTCTACTAAACACCATTTAACGCATTTAAATCCATATAACATGTTTGTAAGCTGCCGTGGTGTAATATAGTTAACAACCTGCACCTGCAAGCCAGAGCAGTGGAAAAAATATATGCACGTTTCCTCAATCTTCCCACACCTTTACCACAGCAAAAAGATCGTCGACCTTCTGGTGGGGTTAAGCGTGGGTACTACTTCCACCTCTTCGGACACGTCTGGTCACCGTGGAAGAAAAGGCGATATGCCCTCTAGATTTCCATGTGGTTGAAAAGCCCCTTCCGCCAGTAGCAGCGCGTGCAGTTACTGTCTTTCACCTTTCTACCGTTAACCTAGAATACTTTAAACTTAATCAAAGCTCACCCAAGCCAGATGATTATTTGCTCGAGATCCCCGCCAATGACTACAGTGGTGCTCCGGAGTAGTATAACACTATCTTGGTGTAATGCATATTATCATAATTATGTGATTATTATTATTTTTATGCCACGTTAAGTATTGTTACGAGTGAATATCCGAGGCCACTAGTTTTTTTTATATGATTCAGGGTTTAAGCTAGGACTTTTATAGAGGAAAAAAAAAGACTAAAATTCACAGCCACTCTCGATGCACTGCTGAATTGATGGAAGGCCCCCCCCAGTCATGTCAATCATGGGGCTTGGTTGTCCATACTGCTGGTCAGTGCGGGCTGACGAAGCGATGTTAGCCGTGATCGGGAATAATGCTGAGATAATAAATAGTAAACCCACAGCTCCTTCCTTGTTCACTCCGCTCCCTGAAAGCATCCCCCCCCCCGCCCATGCTGGTTAAGTCACACGTGGGGCTTGACTGACCATACTTCACCACGCTGGTCATTTTAATGTGGACACCCAATGACGCCACGCGGCATAATAAAGGGGATATAAACACCCGGGGGGTTATATCCTTAGTTTTTTCGGTAAAGTCACGTTGAAGAGAAACAACAAAATAATAAAATATATATAAAACAATAACAAATTCTCACGACGTTTCGACCATAACTCAAACGGTCATCTTCAGGTGGTTGTTTACAATACTTTACAATACTTTAGCCCCGTTCGTCTACGCTGTATCATTCTTTAACCACAAACTTATAACCCCGGCCAACTTATAAGGAGATGTAAACACTCGGTGACGTCACGCGGCCTACCTCTGCCCCGCGACGCCTGACCGGGTTTCGCGCAAACGCTCTGTGAGCCTGGCGCTATTTGGCCTCACAGTGAGGAGGAAGCCGGCGGGGGGGGTGTGGGGAAGTGAGGGATGAAATGAAGCCGGCCCGGGGGGGGTGGGAGGTGAGTCCCCAGGTGAACCGTGGGCACGGAGGACGCGAGGCTCTCCTACCTGGGCCGCGGGAGCCGAGCTCGCGAGCCAACCGGTCGCCACCGCCTCGCGGCGCGAAACCCAAGAATCTTATTCCGTCGCTTGCCTCACGCCCACTGCGCGACGTCACGAAGAAGGCGTGGCCACGTTTTCTAATTGGTGGGGGGGCTCCGTGTTTAGTGGGCGTGGCCGCGTGGCTAGTGGGCGTGGCTATGTAACCAATAAGCGTGGTTGTGTATTCCGTGGGCGTGGTTACACTACAAAAATGGGCGTGGTTAGGAGCAAGGCCCGCCCCCCCTCTCGCCTGGATCGGGGCTTCACCTCGGGGTCTAATTTGCATTAGACGCCAGCACCAATAACCCTTACAAGCTCAACGTGTTCGTTCATAAACACTGCGGCCTTGAAAATAAAACAATATAGCAGGCGACGTTTTGGGAAACGAGCCTTCTGCAAATAGAGAGGCCGGAAAGACAAAGTCCGTGAATCTGCACTTTGCACCATGCTGACAGTAACCCATTGATGCACCATGATAAGAATGGTATTTTACAAATGTTTCCGAATGAACAGTTATACTTTTAATTGGCGTATTAATAGGAAATACTGTATATCAAGTCAACGTATTTGCATTAAAAGTAAAAAAAACAAGTCCTACTGGCGCGTGGCATTTTTGGTAATAATGTTGCAGTGAGGTCAACGTAATATTTATTAACATAATGGACTGAGTGATATGTCCTGGACGTAATTATAATTTCAGGAGGATTAAAAAGCGCTGTAAAGAAACGTTGGGGACCACATACTTCCACGTTTGAACTTTTACATTCCTGAAACCCTTACAATTAGGGTACAGGAATCGATGGCATAATTTTTGGTTTGTTTGCATGTTCACCACAAGTATGCTGTACGTGGTTAATGCAGACATGATTCCTTGCGAAGGAGTCAGCTTGGTGTTGTAACATCTTAACACAACTGTTTTATTGCCGGAAAGGGTAAACCCCTTTTGACATTATGGCAGATAACTTTAAACTATCTTCTTGGTTCTTTCGGTAAAGTCGCGTAGAAGGAAAATAATAAAATAATAAAAATAAAACATAATAAAAGAAAATTCTCACGACGTTTCGGCCACAACACAAGCAGCCGTCCTCAGGTGAAGAAACAGAACTGTCGGACAGAAACAGCGCTCCAATGAACACTGCTTGTGTTGTGGCCGAAACGTCGTGATAATTATATTTTATAATGTTTTATTTTTATGATTTTATTATTTCCCTTCTACGTGACTTTACCGAAAAAACCAAGAAGATGAATCCCTGCAGTCACGAAAGCTTTAAATCGAAATTTAACTTTAAACTAGTTTTATTTACATTCTTGGTTCTTTCGGTAAAGTCACGTAGAAGGGAAACAATAAAATAATAAAAATATAAAACACATGTACCCTATTATTTTATTGTTTCCCTTCTACGTGACTTTACCGAAAGAACCAAGAATATGAATCCTGCAGTCACAAAAGCTTGAAATCAAACTTTAGTTTTATTTAATTGTCTTGTACAGCACTTGCTAGCATTTTTTTTCTTTACATTAATTAAAGCAACGTTGCCCGAAAGTCTTCTTACGTATTTTTTTTGTGTGTGCACCAAATGCCAACGCAGTACCGCCAAAATAATTTGGGTTGCATTTCGTGGGTGCGCCGTGCGGGTGGTGCATGGTTCACGGCTCTTGATGGGCGGAGCTCTCCTCCTTGGTGGGCGTCACCGTGAGCCCATAGTGGGCGTGGCGAGGAGCATGAGCTCCATCTGCCTCACTCGGGGATCCTCGTGATTGCGCTCGCATCTGCTCCGTGTCATCTAGCGTGCCCCTCCTGCCCCCTTTTCTCCATACACGCCGCGCCGCGCCGGGCCGGGCAGGGCAGGGCCGGGCAGGCAGGGCAGGCGGGCGGCATGGCAGCCCTGCCCGATGTGGTGTACGGCCCGCAGGAGTTCGAGGTGCGTGCTGCGGAACGTTGCTTTCTGGGGGTTAGAGGTAGGGGTAAAGACGCTAGTGGTGGTCGGGATGCACCTGTGCAGGTGATAATCCGTCACCTCACCTGTCTATATTGGTGGCGACAATTGCTGTATAATTGGTCCGGCGGGGAATACACGTGGGTGAGTAATGCTGGCATTTGGAATGGGCGCTCCACGGATTCATGGATGGTCGGTGGATGCAACAATACTATCCACGTAACAGTACACTGCATCTGTGTGTGTGTCTGTGCGAGTGGGCGGGTGCGTCCATGTGTGTGTCTGCGTGTGTGCGCATGTTTGTGGGTATGCATCTCGCATCTGTCTGTCCTTTGTATGTGGTGGGGAGCGGTGGTGCAGCGGTTAGCGCACTGCACGACCAACAACAGTCACGATTATCTGAACCGGTCCTGGGCCTCCCCTAGGTCCACTCAGCCTAAAATTGAGTATTCGGTGCATACTGGGGAGACAAAGGCGGCCGGGCGTGGTGCTGGCCACCCACCTCCTCGTGCGTCGTGCCGGACTTCATAGGTGCTCGCTAACAGCACCTGCCACTACCGTCTGGCGATACGGGGGATGTTTGTCGTTGTCTTTGTGTGTGTGTGTGTGCATCTGTGCGCATCTGTGCGGATGTGTGCATCTGTGTCTGTGGGTATGTGTGCATCTGTGTTTGTGCATTTGTGTCTGTGTTCGCGTGTGTGCATCTGCAATTTGTATGTATGTGTTTGAATGGTATACGTGTGTGTCTGTGCGGATGTCTGGGCAGTTGTTGTCTGTCTGCTTCTCTATGCTTGTGCCTGCATCTTGAACCTGTGTATGTATATGTGTGTATATTGTGTAGGTGTGCGTCTGTTCATGCCTGTATTTGTGTACGGTATATGCCTGTGTTTTGGCATGTATGCGTGTTCACATGTAGTACATCTGCACATCTGTGTGTCTTTGGCTACACGGTATATATCTGTGTCTGCGTGGTTGGGGAGCGGTCGTGTAGCGGTTAGCGCTACGCTGTGCTACGAAGCCGGCGACCCCAGTTCAATTCCCGCTCACGGCCAACACCGGTGATGGTTATATGAACCAGTCCTGGGCCTTGGGGAGACAAAGGCGGTCGGGCGTGGTGCTGGCCACCCACCCCTTCGTGTGCCGTGTTCGCTAACAGCACTTACCCCACCCGTCTGTTAAGGCTATACGGGGGAGCTTTGTCTTTGTTGTATGTGCATCTGGGCGTCTAATTGTATTTGCGCATATATATGTGAATGTTCTTGCCCAACAGTGTGTTCAGGCTTTTCGGGGGATCTTTGTATACCCGTGCGTGTACGTCTGTGTGCGGATGTCTTTGTGTGTATCTATTTACACGTCTCTTGTCTCTATGTATGACAGTGTCTCTGTATATCTGTATGCATGTCTCAGTGTGTGTGTGTATATATGCGTGTGTCTGCGAGCTCGCTAACAGCGATTGTTCCAACGGGCTTTTAAAAGGCTGTAGTGCTCAGCTCTCTGCGCTCTGAACCCGACAATCCGAGTTAGGATCCCGCTCACGGCAAACATCAGGGATTCATATCTGAACTGACGCGTCCATGTACGAGTACCTGGTGTGGTGTGTCAACATCAGCACTGGGGAAACAATGGGGGGGGGGGGGGGGGGGCGAGCGTGGTGCTGGACACAGCACCACCCTCCCCCCTCGTGTGCCGTGCCGACCATAATAGGTGCTCGCTAACAACACTTGCCCCAACATTTTATGTCAAGCTATGCGGGCGATCAAAGTCTTTGTCTATGTACATCTGTGTGCATGTATCCCAGCGTGTTACCGAATTCTTTACGTTCCGATTGCTATCGTACAGCATCAGTAAACACGGCGAGACACACCCAGAGCCATTGACTCGTTACAGCGAGGCGTCATACCACCACCACCATCATCATTTCAATGAGCCATCACAACCATCACCAACCACCACGATGAGCCGTCACATTATCATCACCACGCTTAGCGGTCACAACAACAACATCATCATCATCAAGCTGAACCATCATCATCATCATACAACTTTGCATAATCACTACGAACAAATATCAACATCGTCACACAGAGCTATCTCATCATCACTATAAAGAGCTGTCATCATCTGTGATGGTAATTTATGGCGATCATGCTGTATTGGACATGTCAGGCAATAGCCGCAATTATGATAGATTATATATATATTTTCTTATCATCATCATTGTCGCATGTGTTATAGCGTCGTGGTGCGTGTGATTGTGTGGGGTGTTTGTGGTGTGTATCTGTGAGAGTTGTGGATGGGTGGTCTATCAGTGGGGTGTATCCGTGGTGTATCTGTCGGGTGTGGATGGGTGGTAGAGCTGTTTGTTGGTATGCGTTTGCAGTGTGTGTGTGTGACAATATTGGGTATTATGTTTGCGCGTAGGGTACATGTGTGCGGTATATTTGGCATATTTGTATTGCATGTTTGTATATATTCCTGTGTGGTATGTGTGTGGTATGTTTGATAAAAAAAATATTTGGAGGAATGTATACACATACCACACGTACATCTCTGTGGTATATTAAGGTATATTTGTGTAGTGTATTTGTATTAATGTATATTTCTGTTGTATGTGTGTGGTAGTTAAGGGTGGTATACAGCATGCATGTGGTGTATTGCTATGGTATTTGCATCAAATTAGCATGATGTTCAGTTACAGTATTTGTCAATTTTATTGGATGACGCCTTTTGTCGCTCGTGGAGGTTATTTGACCATACTTCACCATGCTGGTCAGTGCAGGCTGGTGAAGGCCTTTCCGTTTTATTCACCACCCCACCCAATGTGACAAATCTCACCCTCGTGACCACAGCCACGGGGCCGTCCATAAATGACGTCACACACCTGGGGGGGGGGGTCAGACATTTGTGACGATGTGTGACGAGGGGGGGGGGGTTTGAGAAATGTGACGTCACATCAAAATGCGCAACTTTAAATAAATATAGACAACACCTTCTTAAATATACTTTTTAATAAATGTTTTCTCCTACAACATCAGAGTGCAGCGCCACATTAAACACGCACTACAATGACAATAGTTTAAAGCGTTTTGAAGCATGTTTTATTTTCAAAATAGAAATATGGTTTGGGGGGGGGGCAGAGTTTTG